CTTAAGTACCGAGTTACTTTCGTATTTCCGCTGTCACAACCTGAACATATTTCTGAGCTACTCGGCTACATCACTAAAAATAATCTGTACAGAAAAACACTAAAGCTACAGTTCTGAGAGCTGAGACTGATCACAGTTCGCTCTGCTACTGAATATTTACACAGCTTTCTGTGACCTGTGTAAGGAACAGGCGTTACATTAAACCACCTGCATTTTATGGTTAGATGATTATGTAAGACTTCCTAGTTTATCTGTTTCCAATAAAGTATTTTAGAATCCCTGAAAGACGGTGCAGAGGGTGTTACTGTTTAATTAAGTTCATTTAAGAGAAAACATTCACAGCCTTCAAACTGTATATTTTCACTGATATCAGAACACTTACACCATTAAAATCAGCAGCAACATCAGCAATTTACCCAGCTTTGTTTTCACTGTAATATATTTCACCGGTAATCATGCTGATCACTTCACATGGAATCAGACATTATTACTGTAGTTAATAGTTAAACAGCTACACAGACTCTCACAGTCAAAGACAAACACCAAGGCAGAGAGAGAGAGAGAGAGAGAGAGAGAGAGAGAGAGAGAGAGAGAGATGGGCAGGGAGGTGGGGAGGGATCAGATCAGGACATTCGACAGCATGACAGAATCGCTGTCCAGAGTTTACGAAGAACCTGTATTAGACTAGATTTTTTCAGCCGTTCACGACCATTTATCTCCAAAAACAGCAGCTAAACTAGGCTGTATAAACGGGTTAACTGTGGGTTGTGGGCGACACCTGTTAACTAAACTGTCTGACAGACACTTGTAATAAAATATACGCAGCAGATTTTAAGTTCAATAAACAGAATCATCATAAAAGAAAGAAGAAAACCATAAACACGGTACCTGTTCAGCTTGGATCAGCTAGCTCGGCTAATGCTCCCTCAGGCTGGAGTCGGGTTGTAAGAGTGGATTTCAGCAGGTTTCATGTTTGGTCGCTAATAATAAGGCCAATTTGTTTAGTTCATGTTAAATGAATATAGATGACCGTTTGGACGCGGTCTGTTCCTCGTGTGTGCTGGTTCGGTTCTCATCTGTCTCTGTGGTATTTTTCCTGTTGGAGCTGCTGTTTTTTGATCGGTGAATCTTTTAATTTTAACAGCGCTTCGTTCGTATTGGTGTCTGAGCAGATATGCTCATAATTTATTTTTACTCTGTAACGTTATGAAAATCACAACACACCGACATCACAACAAGGGTACACAAAAGAAAACATGCATAATAGTATTAAAAATGTTCTAAAAGTGTCAATAAAGTGTGGGGCTGACAAGGCAGTAACCCTAATGTACAATCACAGCAGGGTAAAGCAGCAGAGCCATCAGAAACACACCGCTCAGTGATATTTCTTGTCCAGATCATGCAGTATGAATGAAACAAACACACTTCTATAATCCTACCCTTCATATATCCAGCTCCAGCTTCCTTCTTAAGAAATATCCGACGTCTAAGGCCGCTCTCTAAGGGAAGCTCCAGGAAAACTCTGGGAAAGCTTTGCGGCTGCTTGCGCAGGCTCTGTCAGCTCTATGTGAGCTCCATTTAAAACATTTGCCTCTATTTTTGCCAACGGGGCAAAACTTATTAGAATGCATGACCAGCTTTGCTTGAGAATGAATGAATACATTATGTTGTTAGAAATGTGCATCTTTTTATGGTTATATTTAACAATCAAACAGCCTGCATCCCACCAGGCTCATCATTAAATGGGAAACTCATATTAAATGGACCTTTCTGCTAAAGAAACACGTCTAAAAAGACACCTGCTAACATGATTCATCCTAAATCATAGGGGTATCAGGCACATTTCGCACATTTACGGGTTTTGTGCTGTGGCCATTGCTGATTTGTGTCCTCTTGTGATTTAATCAGTCTCAAGATGTTAAATTTGCAGGAAGCAGCATCAAATTACAACTAAGGTGAAAGATACAGGACCACGTTAGGTCAGCATTTAGCAGACACATTTATCTCAACATTTCTGCACAGTGCAACAAATCAATCCTGAGTGATTTTTGATTTTATGGGCCAAAAACATTTTCCAATGTTACTTCACCTGTAAGAACTGACCAGGCTGTTTTTGTTACTGTGCCTTTAAGACTAATATGTAAATGATTCTGTTATGATTGTGCAATCAAAATTCAAAATGCAGGCTGAAACACTCTTTATACCTTTATTGTAAATGGGCAGGGCTAAAGTGCTATATATATATATATATGATAACTTTACAGGAGAAGGAAAAAACCTACTTGACTTTTAATGTAAGTCTATAGAACCAGAACTTTTCCAAGTCATTTCGGGACGTTTCTTTTGGTCCAGTCATCATGAAATTTACAGACAATATAAAGGATAACAGGTATTTTCAAATTGAAAACTGAAAAAATATCAAAAATGGAGATACGAGGTTCTCTTCCGACAACAGCTATATATATATGTATATATATATATATATATATATATATATATATATATATATATATATATATATATATATGAGAGAGAGAGAGAGAGAGAGAGACATGTAGAATGTGTCGTACTGATGAGCTCAGTGACTTTAAACTTGCCCTGCTAGATCTGCCCCTGTCCACTGTAAGTGAAATGGAAGCGTCTAGGAACAACAGAGCAGCCATGAAGTGGTAGACCATGCAAGCTCACAGAGTGGGTCCACTGAGCGCTGAAGCTCACAGTGTCTACCCTCTGTTGAATCACTTACTAAAGAGTCCCAAATCGCCTCTGCAAGCAACAGAACTGCATGTTAGGAGCTTCACGAAATGGGTTTCTATGGCTGAGCAGCTGGACAGGAGGCTAAGATCAAAATACACAATGCCAAGCGTTGGATGGAGTGGAGTAAAGCGCCGCCACTGGACTCTGGAACAGTGGAAACGTATTCTGTGTAGTGATGAATCAGCTTCTCTATCTGTCAGTCTGATGGACGAGTCTGGGTTTGGCGAATGCCAGGAGAACGTTACCTGCCTGACTGCACTGTGCCAGCTGTAGAGTTTGGTGGAGGAGGGATGATGATATGGAGTTGTTTGTCAGGGGTTGGTCTAGAACCCTTAGTTCCAGTGAAGGGGAATCTTAATGCTTCAGCAGAACAAGACATTCTGGACAGTTGTACACTTCCAACTTTGTGGGAACAGTTTGGGGAAGAACCTTTCCTGCTCCAGCATGACTGAGCCCCAGTGCACAAAGCAGCTCCATAAAGTCATGACTGGCTGAGTTTGGTGTGGAAGAACTTGACTGGCCCTCACAGAGCCCTGACCTCAACTCCATCCAACACCTTTAGGATGAACTAGAATGGAGATTGTAAGTCAGGCCCTCTCGTCCATCATCGGTGTCTGACCTCACAAATGCTCTTCTGGATGAATGGGCAGAAATTCCCACAGACACTCTCCAAAATCTTAGAAAGCTTCCCAGAAGAGTGGAACCTGTTAGAGCTGCAAAGGGGGACCAGCTCCATATTAATGCCTCTGGATTTAGAATGGGATTCATAAAAGCTCCTGCAGGTGTAATGTGTAGGTGTCCCAATACTTTTATCCATATGTATTGGTTTTCCATGGTATGGGTGCTTTAAGAAAGCAAAAAACTAAGGGGATGTTACTAGAGTTAGTTAAATACAGAACATCTAAAGAATTAGAGGCCTGCATGAAGCTCTTCCTTTGAACGTATGATGATAGGAACAACTGTTCATTGATTATGTAGCCTTTAGGAAAGGCTCTTTAGCAACCTCAAAGAGATTCCTATACAGCATTGTTGCAAAAGATCTCTTTTTGGCACCTTTGTTTGTGAAGAGTTGAGTTTTCCTGTATGTTCCTTTCGACAGATTGCTACGTAGCCCGCCACTGGCCTGGATATCTCTCCATAGGGGATATTCTCTGAACTGAGCTACGGTGAAAATGTATTTTTTGTCATTTCCACCACTTATGACAGTGCTGGTGCTTTCAGAACACTTATTATAAAATATTAAACATGTTCAGTTATTGCTATATGAGCTGCTACATTACTGAAAGTTGAAGGCCATTCTGAACTCTTGGTTGTACTCAAATTATTCCCAGATGCTCAACTCATGAAATTAAAACGCGCCTTTCCTTGGCCAGGTAAGAGCAAACGTGCTAAAGGAGCCCTGCTCTTAAATAACCAGAAATAACCTTCTGGAATAAAACTTCTCGACTAGATTTCAGGGGCGCTTTTTAAATTTGATGAAGGGAATTTTTCTACATATTAGGTGTTTTAAACGTGATCCTGTATGGGGAGATATTTTTTTTGCCCACATTTTTTTTTTGTGGTACAATTTTCCAAATTTTGTTCAATTTTGTTTTCCAAACTTTTATTGCCATGAGCCATGGCTAGTCCTTTAATGCTGAGGCAAAACAGCATCTTTTATGATATGTAAAGACCATGATCTATTAAAACATATATTTTCATTTAATTTGTGACATTTATTTAAGTCACCATAAATAACAATAACACGAAGTCACTTTAAAGCAGAGCAGAGGTTTTTTCCTTACATAGGTCCCTCCTGTCTCTATAATTTGTGTATATTTTGTGTATATTTAATATATTTCAGTTTCAGTATTTTCTTTGTATTTTTATTTTTACTTTGTTTACTTTCTGTAGCGTGATTATGAGCCTCACCACAAGCATTTCAATGCACGAATGTCCTGACATGTTGTGCAAATGACAAATAAACTTGAAACCTGAACTTGAACTTGACTCAAATTGCCACTTTAAACAAGCATTTCATTGCTACTGTGGTGAAACAGGTCAATAAAAAATATTTCCACGGTGATGTGAAAGTGTGAGTATCGCGGTTCGTCCAACAGCAGAGACGCCATGGAGCTTCTTTTACGCAGTGATAGGAAACATAGACGCTCCAATTCCACATGCTGATCCATCTCATGGGTCAAACACCAAAACTCTGAATGGTTGTCTTTGGTAAAACTGAATTCATTTCTGAGTTGACTCACCTACTGGTGACATCTCTGGCACTGACCCACGGAAAGGCCCTCCGATGAACTGCGGGGGGTTGTCGTTGATGTCCTGCACTTTGATGATGAACTGTGAGGGAGATTCCAGAGACTGGTTGGTATCCTTGTTGATCACTCGTGCCGTTAACGTGTATTCGGCCTTTTCTTCTCGGTCCAGCCTCTTCATAGCGTGGATATCGCCAGTGTACTCGTTAATGACGAAGATTGTTCCTGCGCCCTCGCCGGACAGCTCGTACCTGAGGTTCCTGTCACTCACACTCAAATCTGTATGGAGCTAAACAGAAAAGAAAAAAGACCTGATTAGCACCCAGTCACACCTATATATTACACTTTTAGTAAAAGGTGTTCTATATAGTACCAAATTAAAGGGTTCTATGCCTTACTTTTTTGCACAGTTTGAAAACGTTAGTTATGTTTTGCATTGCATTAAACTTTCATAATGAACATATTAACAGAAATGGTTACAACTTATGTAAGCTAGTAGTAATATGTACAATATATATATATATATATATATATATATATATATATATATTTTCTACATATTAGATAAAAATGGGATTCTTCTTTATACATAAAGAAGTTTTTGTACCCCATATTTTTTATTTACTGTGCAATTTTCTAAATGTTGGAGGCTTTTATTGCTGTCAGCCCTGGCTAATCATTTTACTCTGAAGGTTCTCAGAATGATGGATTTTCCAATAATAATAATAACAATAATAATAATAATAATAATAATAATAATAATAATAATAATCTTTTAACAAAAAAAGTATCCCTGTAATTTTACCAGTTATATATATTTTTCTTACATTTTTTTTCTTATATATTTCTTGTATATACAGCACAATATACTTCTAGTTTCCTAAATTGTTTATAAGTTAGATATAGAAATCATTAAATAATCTTTAAACAATCTTCACAAAGATTGATTTATTGAAAGGTTCTGTGGGGAACCAAGAGTAGTTCTCCCATGACTTCTTTTTCAGAGTGTAGTTAGAACGGGACATGCGAGTTTGAATTGTCATGGTTCTCTGTAGACCCACTGCTTTTACTAAGGAACCCTTGAAGATCCCTGTTTTTAGAGTGAAGGGCTTGTATAATGTACAATCAATCGTGTCCACCTTGGACAAAAGCCTCGTCCGTCACGTGAAGGAATTAGGGCTCGCCGCCAAGTGGACGGCCGTGGAGCGTTTCCAAAACGCGAGTGTTTTACCGTGACAGCTGAATTGTCCAATCTCGCAGACAAAAGCGGTAAAGGGCAGACAAGGTCCTGAGCTCGCAGGCAGTGTTTAGATTGTGTGTCCCAGCCCGTCTGTCATTCACTCTTTAATCCATCAGTGATGGAGACTGGAGGTGATAGCACTCTTTCTCCAACCTGCATTCAGCCGCCTCTACAGCGTCAACCCTGTTACCAGCTGCAAATCGACCACAGGAGTCGTATGAACAGAAAAAAAACAGACCCCCTCCCACCCCCACTCCTCCCACCCTTAAATACGAACACTTCCAGACAAGCAACTGGATCGAGTCAAAGAAAAAAAGAACAGCAGCAGAAAAGGGCAGCACTATCTTTAAACACGACCCAGACTGAACAAAACAACTGACAGCTGACAACCACTGGAAAACAGGTCACACCCTACAGCCCCTCCGGCTTCATCCTTCAACTTCCACACATTACATAGTGTTTCTTATATGTACATATTATGTATTAAGTATCACATATTATGGGATATGTAATGCATCTCCAGTTCCTTCAGTTTTACATCCCTACTGCTGTTTTACATCCCTACTGCTGTATGTTTTAATGTTATATATTATATTTCATATATTAAATAATACATAACATATGGCACCTTTCAGTTCTTTAATATTTCCTTGCACTGATACAATAATATACACTTTAAAAAAAAGTCCTGTGATATTACTGAAATATTTTATCAGCTGTTTTTCAACTGTTTATTTTCAGAGAGAGAAAGAGAGAGATGGAGAGAGAGGGATAAAGAGAAAGAGACAGAAGGAGCGATGAAGAGAGAAAGAGAGGGCGATCAAAAGAAAATATTTAGTGAAATGAGAGGGAGGAAAGGAAAAAAGAGAGAGAGAAAGAAGAAGACGACGAGAGAGAGAAAACAAGAAAGAGAGAGAGATAGAGAGAGAACAGACAGAAAGAGGAAGAGAGAGATACAGAGAAAGAGAGAAAGAGCAGAGAGAGAAAGAGCAGAGAGAGAGATAAAGTGAAAGAAAGAGTGATGAATAAAGAGAGAAGAGAGATCAAAAGAATATATTTAGACAATGAGAGGGCAGAAAAGAAAAAGAGAGAGAACCTGAGAGAAAGAGAGAGAAGGCAAAGAGAGGAAGGAAGAGAAAGAGAGAAAAAAGAGAGATAGATAGATAGATAGATAGATAGATAGATAGATAGATAGATAGATAGATAGATAGATAGATAGATGCATGTATAGAGAGTAAGGGAGTGGAGAGAATGAAAAAGAAAGAGTGAAAGAGTGATGAATAAAGAGAGAAAGAGAGGGAGGATCAAGAGAAAAGAAAGAGAAGGCAGAGAGAGGGAGATAGATCTACATAAAGAGAGTGATAGACAGACAGACAGACAGACCAGATAGATAGATAGATAGATAGATAGATAGATAGATAGATAGTTAGATAGAAGGATGAAGCGGAAAGAAGTGTGGGTTCAGTCAGAGATCAATCGGAGGTGAACTGTCATCTCGACACTTTGTTTCTTTGTTCACTATTTGCAAGATTGTGAAATCCAAAAAAAAGAGCATGTTTGGAAAAAAGAAAAGAAGAGTAGAAAATCAAACACAGAAGCAGATTAAAGACAGCAAGTCACACAAGGTGAGAGACTTCTGGGACTTCACACCAAATGAGCAGAAGGAAGTGCTGGTGTTTTATTATTTTTATTTTTTTAATGCCTCTTCTAAATTAGGTACAGGGTCCCAGAGGAAGGATGGGGGGTGGGGTGGGGGGGTGTTCAGTGAAGGGGGAGGGGGGGTGTTGCACGGTGAAGCAGGGGGTGCGACGTAAAATAGAGCATTTGCGAATTCGACGGTGCTCAGCAATAGTCTGAAAGCGGCCCAAGGCGTGAGCCATTAGGATCAGTGAAGTGTTGTTTTTATCCTCCCTCCTTTTTCTAAACTCACATGAGGACGTCCTGTTCCGCAAACTTCAATTCCATTTCCTGGCCTAGAAATATAGGAATACGCGGCGGCGTCCTGGTGGGATTTCACCGGGGGAACGCGGTAACAAGGCAAACTCAAACCTAGACCTCAAAAAAACCCACTGCAATTGTTTTATAAGCGCGCTTTCATGCATATGTTGTCTCGGAGGTGCTGTTCTCAGACACTGACAAAGCACATTCACTTAAATTGTCACACCTTGCACTTTTGTTCTCCTAATTGTGCCATCATTCCACATGAAAGATCTCCCTCATTAACACGGCAACTTCACAACAATCTCGGCTCTATGAAAACCCTTAAATGAGCCCAAATTAATGATGCACTTTCTTCTGCCGGTGCGTTTGAGAGAGGAGTTTCTCTCCTCCTCGACCCCGATAGCTTTCTCTTCCTTTCACTTGGGCAGATTTCTTTGCTAAAAACAGACTTTAATTAACAAGAAAAGCACAATAATACATTGATTATTAATCATGGTAGAAATAATTAAAGCTCTGATGGGCGTATTAATATCAATCACTCTTCTTCAGAGTAAACTGCATTGCAGCTGTGGACGTCTTGCTGCCGAGCGAGCCTTTATTCTCAATGTACAAATGCTGCAAGAGGTTGACCCGTCCATCATTATCCAGGTTGCCAAGGCAACATTAGACGACATCAGCTTGTCTGAAATGTCATTGTATACTCCGCTGTTCATGTTTCTAGTGAAATTACCTCGTCTGAAAATCAGTGAAACAACACAGTGAAATGAAGACGGAGGGGATTCAGGCTCTGATTTGTATCTTGACCGTAAGATTTTTTAAGCAATAGTCTTGTGAAAAACAGAAATAAGAACATATATATCATATATATAACATATATTGTTGTTGTCGGAGGAAAACCTTGTATCTACAAAATGGTAAATTTACAGGAGAAGGAAAAAACATACTCTACTTTTAATGTAAGTCAATGGAACCAGAATTTTTTCCAAGTCATTTTGGGTCGTTTCTTTTAGTCTATTCATCATGAAATTGACACACAATGTAAAGAACAACAGGTAATTTCAAATTATGTCAAAAACTGAAAAAACACAAGGTCTTCTTCTGACAGCAGCCATATATATATATATATATATATATATATATATATATATATATATATATATATATATATAAAATGTAAATATTTTCTGTTTTGTTTTTATTTTTTTCCAACATGTTAAATTCAGTGAATAATCAGCATTAGTGTATTAAAATTTGCAGAAGTGTGTCATCTGTAGAGTATTTGTTAGCTAATTAACAAAATCAACAACACGTAATTTGATAAGACAAGGCCAAACTTTTGCATATGACTGTAAGTAAAACACTGGAAAGACATTAGACACAACCCTCGTAGTTTACATGGCGCTGAATTGGTGGCTGTTAGGTTCTGTTACTTGTTAGCTACATTAGCCTTGTAGATTTTGGCAGACTGACCACATTTGGGGTTGGATGGGCATCTGCAAATTACATTTTTTGTCCAAGCAATTCTTTTGAAGTCTATGAAATTAAGGTAGCTCACAAAAAGCAACAGCTTATGTGCTCCAGATAGCACTGTGCAAACTGCTTGCCTCAAACTGTGTAGAGTTGTTGAGTAATCCTAGATTTGCATATGTGGTTTCTGACACTGTATGACATACTTTTAGCTAAAAGCATGGACACAAGTATGTTAGCATGACTGTTTGCCACCGCTGGTCCACCCTCAGACCACCCAGATTACTGTCCTGCATACAAGCTCTACAGTTTTTAAACTCCTCAAACAGATTTTAAATGCACAGTGACTTTTATTTTGTAAAATGAACCCAGACAAATATTACAAACAACGGAGAGAGAAAAAATAATGACTAGGCCTGATGTAAAACAATTTTACAGAAAATGTTGCTGAAACTGAACTAGATTAAAATAATTTACTGAACTAATTCACAAAGTATAACTAAAGAAAAGAAGGAAGGAAAAATCAGTAAATTGGACTGTGAGTGGAAAATGAACAATGATAAGTGGAATTTTGCCTAAACCTCTGCTTAAACACTGGTGAGCTGTCTGGAAAACGCTGAGCAAAACGCCACTGGACCATC